CTTTCTTCTAATCCGTCTGATCCTACATTTCATACTGCCCCTTCCAAGTCCAGGGGGAAAAGACCAACATACCCAGAGACTTCCTAGAGGAGTGAGGACATTTCATGCCCAGAAAACTACCAAATTTTCCCCAAGCTCACTGGCTTGAATGTGGTCACATCCCTACCCGTGAACCAATTTCAGTGGTTTTGATTAGATTATGCCAAAACTATTTTCCCCAGACTTAGAAGCAGAAAATGGAGCTGATTTTCCACAAAGCACATAGACAGAGGAGTAGATTCCCTAAATTAAAAGCAGGATAATTATCATATTACCAAAAAGTAGAAAGAATGGGTGTTCAGGAGGCAATCACGATGTAAAGTATCACAGATGAGAGTTTTCAAGGGGGAGAAAGTGGTCAAGAGCAGTAAAAACAGAGAGATTAAGGGACACCTAAGTTGAGTGGGTGTGTTTTGTATAGTAGTGGTGGGGGCGGGGGTAGGGGGGAAGCGAGGGGTGGAGAGTCCAATTATAAATTCTTCCTGGAAATCGTAGTCCCAGAAGGGAATTGAACCACGCATAGGCCATGTGAATTCCCAGAAGGGAGTGGAACCATGATAGTATATGGGTGTGTGTGTGTGTGTGTGTGTGTGTATGTATGTATGTGTGCTGGCACACTTTGCACACATTAGGAAGGGGGTGGTGTGCCCGGCCAAGGGAGAGTCTTGCAGAGATCTGCAGGCAAGACTGAGAGCACACCCTGACAGGGAAGAGCAGGAATTCAGTGGAAGTGGCAAGAGAGGAGGAGCTGTGAACCAAGGCCACATCCTAGCAGTTTTCAGAAGGGCCACACTGAGCCACTTGGACATCATTGCGAAGATATGGGAACCAATGGAGGGCTCCAAGCAGGGGCTGGCACGGCCACCTTGAAGTTTAGAAAAATCACTCTGGCGTGGGGATGCAATGAAGGAGCAAGGGAGCAGGCTGCAAGAACAGGGGAGAGGCTGTCGCAGGTATCTGGGAGGCCTCAGCCAAGGTGGTGGTGGCAAGGGATGGAGAAAGGAGGACAGAGTGAGGATATTAGAGAGGATAGGACAGCAGGACTGGGGAGTGGTTGTAAGTGCAGGGTGAGGAGGGGAGACAGCCTGGACATGAGGGCAGGGCTGGACATCCCTGGCCACCGTCAAGATGTAGGACCCTACCATAACTCTCCTCCACTCCCCAACCCATTCATCTTCTGCTGAGATGCCAGCAATGTCACCCATGCTGCCACCATCAGGGTGACTAACTACTAATTGCAGAAAGGAAATTGCATATACACATGTGGGAAATGCTTCAGGCTCCAGCTGGCTCCACAGGTGGGGGGACGGGGGAGGGGGGGTTGTTGAGCTCAGACAGGAAGGAACTAAAGGGGAGAGATGCTCCCAATTAAATGGAGATTTCTTTCACATAAAAATGCAAGTGGAAGAGAATTTTGCCCCAAGGAGCAGCTGGAGCAGAAGAACAGGATCCTAAGTCTTCATTTTGGAGGCAGCTCCCTGAGTGGCCAGTAATTTTTCTTCTTGAAGGTGAAATGTTTGCAGTCCCTGCTCCAAGAACTTGGACCCCACGTCCTATTTCTTGCAGACTTTTGGCTTTTGTCAAATGGGAGATGCTGGAATCCTTTCCGCAGGAGACCAGACCAAGTTGCACTCTTGGCCTCGCTTCCCTGGCTCTGGCTCCAGTTTTGAGGGGAGAGGAAAGGGCTGGGAGACGGATGGAGTGGAGAACTCACAGGGGGATGAGGGAGGAGGAATGGAACACCCTTCCCAACAGCCCCTGGATGGAAGGACGGGAAGGGAGTCCTGGCAAAACAGCTAATCCTCTGCCTCTGGTTTCTCGCTCAGCATCCACAGCCTGGAGTTTCGACCCTTATCTGACTCCAGGGGAAGGGGAGGAGGAGTTGCTGATGGAGCTTGTTTCCAGGACCTGCTCAGCCAAAATACAGGCCACCAATCTGGAAAACACAAGCCCTTGGCTGACCACAGCCACCTGCCTCCGCCCACACAAGCGAGGCGACTCCATTTGTCTCTCCAGGATACTGTCCACTTTCAACCCTGATGTCCAAGAAAAGAGGATCAGGGAGCTGGAGTTAGCTGGAGAACGCCAATGCTCAACACATTGGCCTTCTCTCGGCCCTGAAGAAGCAGTAGAATCTGCAAAGAGGCCAACTAGAAGTCGTGGTCACTATTTTCAGAAGATGCTCAAGGAAATCTCTTCTTCAATCTAAAAACCTCTCCACCCAATCACCAGGAAGGCCACAAGGTCAAAAGTGGCCTTTTTGCTCACACTCCGCCCTTTCTTCCCCCTCACTGAGCACCAAGAATAACTTCCTGCTGGGGGTGAGGGTGGGTAAAAAAAGATTTAATTACAGTTTCTGTTTCTGACCTCACTCTCCCACCCCCGGGAGCCGCCATGTTGCCCTGCCTGGCTGTGGTGGTGTCAATGAAAGGGCACCGTCCTGGCTGACACTACCACAGGCCAAGGTGCCACCCAGAGAGAGCCTCAGGGCTGGAGGGTTCTCTCCAAGGCTAAGCTCACTCATTCTCACAGCAAGTCCTGAGCAATCTCTGGTAATACCAGAAAATGTGGTCTTGGGGTACCTTCTTAAGACTCCTAAGGCAAGATGGAAGAGGCTTCTAAGTCTCTGAAGAGAAAGTAATTTTTCCCTTGGATATCTCCAGGCCAGCATTGTCATCTCCTGCAATTTCCAGATCTCACCAATGACCCTGTCCCCTAGCCCCACCCCCACCACATTCTTGCTGCTCTGTGGCTGTCCACTAGCACTGCTTCATGCTGACTGCTTTCCACACCCAGTTCTCAGCAGCATCAGATGGGGCCTCATGTGTGCGGCCTGCCCTTCACCGTTGATAAGCCAGGGGCACACAACATCTCTGGGTCCTCCACCACTCTGAGCCTCACCTCCAGCTTCCGGAAGAAAATTTTTACAAATCCAATATTCACCAAGCAAACATTCTTCAAGTCCAACTCTGCCCTCCACCAGCCCTTACCTATCCTCTTAAATTCTAAGAAGCAGGTGAGGAGAGCCCTTCTCCCCACAAAGCCCCCTAAACGGCTCAGAAACCCCTTCTAGTCTGGTCATCAGATGTTTCTGAAAACCATTGCTGAGCCAGGAGGAACATCTACGGAGCCTTGTGAAAATCATTTTTCTGGTTTGGGACCTTACCCACCAGGATTCCGTTAGCCGCCTTTGTTGTCCAAGAATTTGAGTTAGGAATCTCTCCAGGAGGTAGGAGGGTGATTAAAACAAAGAAGAGAATAAAAGCTTTTAGACATGGCCCGGCCGTGCCAAGAACAGCTTCAGAGGCTTACAAGTGCTCACAGGACCATCAAAGGCAAGCCGGCACCGATAGCTCTGTTTGTTGACTCGGTGAAATACTCCATCTCAGGGTTATTGCCATTGAAAACATCTCTTCTATCTGGAATCTTTTCTACACCAAGTGCACAATTGCTTCATTCATCTCTTCAGAGGAATCTGTCACCAAATCCATAAGCTGCCTCCGCCAGCAGGCGGGGCAGGATACCAACTTGCCCAACCTCCGCCCACTGGGATGAGCCAAGGATGCAGTTCCTGTGTTCGTAAAGCCCCAGATTCTCTCCTATCCTGTGGGTGGCACCCTCCAGCCTCCCCACCATCTTGTCCCAGCCCGCCTGGCTCTCATCAAGAATCGAGGCAAGGGGAGAGGGGTGGACGCAGGAATTTCCATCTCAATCAACATTCACGGAGAATGGCATAAACAAACGATGTGCTCCTACGCCCAAGAAAGGAAAACTAACCTTATAGTCTCCTTCTACGTGCCAGAGGTGTGCTATGTCACACATTTGATCTTTACAACAACCCAGTGAGGTTGTTGTTTTATAGAGGAGAAAATTGCCCAAGGTCACAGTGGCAAGAGAAGGGCTTGAAAGCAACTCCCACCAGCTGATGGCAAGACTGTGGGGAGACCACTAAGAATCTGCGCTTCGGGTCACCTGTCTCTACACTGAGAGTAGCACTGGTCCCTCCCCTCTCCATCTCCCAGCCCTGTGGAGGGGAAACCAAGTGCAGCATGTGAGTCTAAGTGCTTTGTAAGCAGGAAAGCAATATCCAAATGTTAATGGGCTGTGACTTCCTCAAGGGCAGTGGGGTCTTCTACTTTATCTTTGTGTCCCCAGCACCCAGATCAGTGCCTGAGACAGAATCAGCCCTCTGCTGACGCTGGAGTGGAATGAAGCCATGCCCATACCACGTCCCAAGGAGAGCAGTGAGGAGACCTCCCGGAGGTCTGGACGGGGTAGGGTATGGACTGGGAGGAGTGACAGGGAAGCCAGACATCACAGAGCAGACCACCTGACCAAAGAATGAGCACACAGTTGCGGGGAGTGGTGCAGATAAGGGAACCCCGCCCCTCTGCCACAAGGCTAGTCTGTCAGGTCAGCCAAATCCACTGAAGCCATACTGGAAGAACCTTGTGACCCTCTCACAAGAGGTAAGAGTTGAACTGATGCCCGGCACACTCCCCGGAGAGCTGAGCCCCCACAAGTTGGGAGTGGGGCAGGCAGAGGGGTGATGCCTGCCTGGTGCCAGCCTTGAAGAAACCCCGTGGCTCCTGACAGAAGGGCAGAACCTGATACCTGGGTTTGACTAAGAGCAAAAAAGAGCAGGTGCTCTGGGCAGGTTTCAGTTTGGGGGTGGGGAGAGGATGGAGAGAAAACAGGGGAGGAAGTTCTAGATTTGGGGTCTCTCAGGAAATCCCCGCAGACCCACCACATCAGCCTCGCAGGGAGGGAGTCTCCTGCCCCAGGCACAGACATTCCTGTCACCTCCTGGGGAGGCCTCCTCTGCCCCCTGCCGAGAGAGCTCTTTGAATCCCCAGGGCACCTTGTCTGTAAGCATTTTATGGCTCTAACGGCTTTCTGCCTTTGGTTGCAGGCATTTGCACTCCTGTCTCCTCTTCCTTAAGGAACCAATGTGGGGTGGGGGGGGCCTTATTATTCTGCGTCCCTCTCAGCAGCTCCCACAGCGCCCAGTGCCTGGCATGTGCTCCACAGACACACGAAGAAATGAAGGCGGGTACAGGAGAGGAAGGGGACAAGAGGACAGAGGAAGGTCAGAATGGCCTGCTTCACCAATTGCCCCCTGCCCTGCCATCCACCGCCAACTCCAGGCCCCACGATGGCCCACCAGGGCACCAGACCATGTGCAAGGTGGGCAGCAGGCTGGGTTTCAGGCAGAGCGGAGGCCCGCTGGGCTCCTCGAGGTCTGGCCTCGCCTCAGGCCTCCGCCCAGGTGGGAAGCACTCCTGCAGCCATTGCATCTGCACGGCCATAATTGAGCCTCTCTCTCTAGAGTGATTTGTGTGTCAAAAATACGCCAAGACTGTAAATCAGGTGGTAGGAAGCTCTGTCTCCTGTTTTGCTGCTCAACCAAAGGGAGACAGACTGTACTGCCACGGGCTCCCAGATCTGGAAAACCACATCTGATTTCAGAGGAGGTTTTTAACAGGCATTAACAGGGGCCAGTGCTGGGGAGCAGGGCTCCCAGCTCTCCCTCCCTGGCCCAGCCACCTCCTCCCAGCTGGGGGGCTTAGCCGGCGGGGGACCTGAAAGCCAGGTGCCTAACAAACCCTGGTGTTCAATAGCAGCTGCTCCAGCTCCTCCCCAGGAGGCTCCGGAGGGGAATTTTCCACTGCCCAGTTCCATTTAGCTCTGCCTGCCTGTGCTGCTGCCTTGACTCTTCCCAGTGAGAGCAGGAAGGTGGGGACCGGCACAGAGTCTCCCCATCCAAAGGGGCTGCCACCGGCCAGAGGTGTCCGTGGGAGGCGGGTGGGACAGAGGAGTAGGTGTTGTTTGTTTCCTGTGCCCTGGCCCTACCTCACTATTCTCTGAACCTGGAACGCTGGGTGTGTGGAGGTGCTGTGAGTGGGAACCAGGCCACCTTTTGAGTAGGGAGGAGAGAATCAAGGCCCTGGTTGCAGGGAGTGGGGACAGAAGGCGATAAGTCTCCCCCTCCCCGTGTCCCTCCCTTTCTCAGGATGTCTGAGAGATGCCCAGCGTGGGTGGGTGCTCCCTCCCCCCTGCCTCCGCTCCTCCTCCTCCCCGGAACTGCCGCCTCCTCCGCCTGAGTGGCTGATGCCCTCTGGGTTCTGTTTTCATTCCAGGCTGTGGATCCGGTCGTGGGAAGCAGGTAGGAAACCATGATTCTGGGGGTTAAATGAAGAATTATATTTAGTGCTCACAGAAAGCCAAATATTGGGTTAGCAGCCAGGAATGGAGAGGGAAAAAACCCAAAGCAAACAGCAGAGGAAAGAAATTCCTACCAAACAAGGTCCCTATTCATTCTTCCAGTCCCAGGTGCAGGGGCCTGCAGGGGTGAGACCTGCCGAATGTACGTAGCCCCTCCTGTGCTCATGGCTGTGGAGACACAAGGAGCATGCAGACCCGGACTTTGATGAGACCCCAAACTCAGATCCTGCATTGCCTGTCCCCAAGGGGCCAAGGGACTCTCAGCCCTCAGCCCAAAGGCTGTCGATATCTCTACTGGCAAGAGTACCCCAGAGCTCACTACGTTGGTTGGTCCTAAAGCCTTTGGGAGCCAGAGGTGGGATGGGGAGGAGGAGCAAAGTGAAAGGTTCCTGGTTTGACCTTGAATAAGTGATTTAATCTCCCTGGGCCTCATGTATGGAGTGCAGGGGTTGGATTATGGTTTCACAGGTGTAACATCCTGTTATTCTGTGTCTGCCTAAAACAAATAAGAGTGTGAGCAAGGTTATGACAGCAGTACCCATCTGTTACTGTGAGCGTTGAAGGTGAGGCCTGGAGAGATAAAGCCATGTGCTTCAGCTCGTTCTCCCCCTCAGCTTTCTGTGCCTCAGCCCTCCACAGAGAAGACTGCTAGGCCTGAGCTGACTCCCCTGGAAACCCCAGACTCCAGTGACGTGCTTCTGGAACCTGCTCAGACAAAGTTAGGTAAGAGCCTGGGCAGTGGGTGGGTTGCAACACCCAGCCTGGCTGACCAGAAAGCTGAAGAGGACTGGAAGTTCAAGAAGAAGTAGAGAGGAGGTGGAGAGAGAGAAAGGGCAGAAGGAGGAGACATCGAAGACCTCCCGAACATCTTCTGTGGGATCTCAGAGAAGGCAAAGCTCACCCTCCTGACTCCAGGACTCATTTGTGTCCAGCCACTGAATTATCTACTTGTTACCCCTCCTGTGGATCTCTCCCGAGGGAAAGATCTACCTTGGAAGGCTGGTAATAAAAGGTAATAAAAGATCTCTAAGGCAGAAATTGCTAGTCAGGGGGTAAAGAACTGAAATCTGACCAACCAGAAGAAAGGAAAGACTGCAATTCCTTACTCCCAGGCCTGTCTGTCTTTCTCTATGAGTCTGTATTTATTTCTCATATGCTTGACTCTCTCTGCTTCCCACCTCCTAGTTTTCTCAAAGGGGCCAAGCTTCTGGGCACCCGCACACTCTGTGAGCTAGAGATGCCGACCTGAGGACTAGCATTTCCTGTATGCTGATGAATGTCCACCCCAAAGAGCTCCAGCGCAAGGGTCGCCCTGTCTACTGGGTTATCCCCAATCCCTCCCTGTCTGCCCAGCTTCCATGCCTCATCAGCAGGGATTCAAAAACACGTATTTGTCAGACAAGTCCTGGGATCACAACCTTAGGAAAGGATGTGCAGAGCCAGCCACTGACAAAATTGTGAAATCAAATGAATTCCCACAAATCTGCTTCTCTTGCATTCCTTAAGCTCAGTAAATTGCACCACCTTCCACCAGTTTTCCAGAAACCAAAAATCATCTTTAACATCCATTCAATCTGCCACCTCCTATTTATCTCCCAAATATATTCCTACAATCTTGCCACCCCCACTATCACTGCCCTTGTGGGGCCTTGCCATGTCTCACTCAGATTACTGAAATTCTCTCCTAGCTGGTAACCCTGGTTTTGTGCAACTCTTCTTCATTCCATCCTCTGTAGTTTAGCTAGAGAAATATTTCTAAAATGCATATATAGAAAATAATTCCACTTGCTGTATGCAATTTTTTGTCGTCCATCCGCTAACTAGAGGACAAAGTCTGAGTTTGTTTGCAAGCACAAAGCTTTCCATCAGCTGAACCCAGCTTGTCTACCACCATTTTCCTGGTCTCCAGCCAGGACTGGTGACAGTTCCCTCAACAGGTCCTGCTGGAAGATTCCAGTCAAGACAGAGTGCTAAAATTGGTGTAGCCACTATGGAAAACTATATGGAGATTCCTCAAAAAATTAAAAATGAAACCACTATATGATCCAGAAATTCCACTTCTGTATATTTATCCGAAGGAAACGAAGTTATATCTCAAAAAGATTTCTGCACCCTTCATGGTCATTGCAGCAATATTTATAATAGCCAAGACATGGAACTAAACTAAGTTTTCACTGGCAGATGAATGGATAAAGAAAATGTGGTGTGTGTGTGTACATATATATGTTTATGTACACATGTGGTGTGTGTGTATATATACACACACACACACACAGAATGGAATATTATTTGGGAAAAAAAAGAAAAGGAAATCCTACCATTTGTGACAACATAGGTGGACCTTGAAGACATTAGATAAGTGAAATAAGCCAGACAGAAAAAGGCAAATACCGTACAATCTCACTTACATGTGGAACCTAAAAATTTCAAACTCATAGATTCAGAGAACAGACTGGTGGTTGCCAGAGGTGGGGGTGGGGAGTAGCGAAATTGGTGAAGGCCGTCAAAAGGTACAAACTTCCAGTTACAAGATAAATAAGTCCTGGGGATGTCATGTACAGCATGGTGACGATAGTTAACAATAGTGTATTGTATGTTTGAACTTTGCTAAGCAAGTAGACCTTAAAAGTTCTTACCACAATAAAAAAATCTTTATCTATGTATGGCAATGGATGTTAGCTAGACTTATGGTGATCATTTCACAATATATACATATATCATATCATTCTGTTGTATACCTGAAACTAATATAAGATTATATGTCAATTACGTCTCAATGAAAAAAAATGGTGTGTTGAGTTCTCTATTCCAACCACAAAGCCATGATGAATAAAACCCATTTTAAAAGATAATCCAACACACATAGCTCGGCTCAAAAACAAGACTACTATCTCTGCGAACCATAAGTAGAACAGAGACAGAAATCACTGAATCGGGCTGTGACAGGTGCTGCTGGGTTCTGGGTCCCAGTGGTAGCCATAAGCTAGGCTCCTGTAGGGTACTGGGGACTGAAACTTCTCTTTTGTTGTTACAAAGGTCAAGTGTGGTTACCTTTGAAAGGGTAGTGACTGGCAGGAGCAGCAGGGGCTTCCGGAGGCTCAGAATGTTCTCTCTCCTGATCTGGGTGCTCATTATGCAGGGGCGCTCACTCGTGAAAACTCATCCAGGTGTTCACTTATGATTTGTGTGCTTTCTCTACATATGTTATACTTCAATAAAAAGGTTGACTTTAAAAAATGTTTTCCTGGGAGACGGGACTAGAGCCAGATTATGGCTTGAAACCAAGGACCAGATTTTTGCTTCCTTATGCATGAAAAGAGGCCGGGAAAAGAGTAGAGCTGCCAGCCAGCTACCAGAGGTTCAGCTTTCAGATGCTCTGGGCCAGGATAGGTGAGGCAGGAGGGTGAGAATAGAGGACAGCCTTGCAATAAGGAGCCATGCCAAGCTGCCTGCTGGCTGCACATCTGCAGTGGCATTATCCTAGTACAGGAGCAGAAACCATGAGCCAACACAGAAGACCTTGTTCTGGAACAATTTGGGCTTAGGAGAAAACCACAAATCTGTAAATCGCACAACAGGAAGAGGGGGAAAAAGACAAAAACAAAACAAATCAGGAGGGGAAAAGACTGCCATTCAAAATGGATCTGCAACCAAAATTCCAAAACACATCTTAAAAACTGAAGTCCAAGGCTAAGAAAGATAGTATAATCAACAAACAACATGAATTCGTTCCAGCTGATATCAATCTATAGAGTAATATGGAAAAGACGGTCAAAGGTATTTACATTGCTCAAAGAAATCATGAAGATGGAACAATTTTTTAAAAAAGAAGCAAGAAGTATTAGATGAAAACAGGTAGAAATGGAACAAGAACAAATGGGCATAAAAACCAATTAGGGGAAAAAAATTGATTGGAACTCTTAGAAATAAAAAACAGTTATTGGATTTTTTTTTTAAGCCTTGAGATTCAGGTTAAACTCAAAATTGAGTGCAGTCAAAGAGAAAAAATGATGAATTGGAAGATAGTAAGTAAAATCATCCAAAACGCAGTAGAAAGAGGCAAAGAGGGAAAAATAATAAAAGGCAAGTGAAGACATGAAGTCAGTTGAGGCACTCTAGCCTGTCCAGGGGTGATCTAGAAGAGAGGGGAGAAAGTGGTCATATGTTTTGTTTTTTGTTCTTTTGTTTTTGTTTCTATCAGTGTTCTTACCACCTCCTTCTAAACTCTTCTGGTACCAGAGATTTAGAAAGCAGATTAGATACTGGAGTCGTTTTCTTCCTGCGGTGGAGGCAGTAGGTGTCCAGGCTTGAATTGATAATCAAAGGTCTCTCACCCTAAAAGATATTTGGCCCAGATGGTTTTAGAAACTTGTTTTCTTGAACCTGTAAGGCACAAATAAACTCTCTCTTAAAAGAACGTTTTCAGTTCCTGCGGCAGTTGTCCTCCCAAATCCTTCCTCTGATAAGATTTTTCAGGCACACAGGATCACCCAGCTACAGGCCACATCCCCAACCTCCCTTGCAAATAGGTGTGGCCAAAGGACTAATCCTCACCTTTAACTATCAGCAGAAGGGGTGCTACTGCTCCATCACTTGCTATATTAATTCCCTAGGGCTGCTGGAAAGAAGTACGACACCACAAGCAGGGTGACTTAAACAACAGAAATTTATTCTCTCACAGTTCTGGAGGCTAGAAGTCTGAGATCAAGATATCAGGGTTGGTTCCTTCCAAGGGTTGTAAGGGAAAATTTGTTCCACCCCTCTCTCCTAGTTTGCTAGCAATCTTTGCTCTTCCTTGGCTGATCTCTGTCTTCATGTTCATGTGGCATTCTCTCTGTGGTGTATCTGTATCCAAATTTCTCCTTTTTATAAGGACACTGGTCACATTGGATTAGGGGTCTACCTACTCGAGTACCACTTCATCTTAACTAAGCATATCTGCAATGACACTATTTCCAAATAAAGTCACATCCTGCAGTACTGAGGGTTAGGACTTCAGCATATGAATTTGGGGGAACACAATACTTGCTTGAAAGGAAGTTGATTGCCCTCCACTTTCTCTATTTTCCCCTTCCTACGGGCTGGAACACAGATGTGGAGCTGAGCCACCTTTGGCCACGTAGATGAAGACACCTTAGAAGATGGCAGAGACACAAAATGGAAAAGCCCTGGGTCTCCATAAGATGACATGGTGGACATCTGCCCTGCCAGTCTGGACCATTCATTTCCAGACTATGAGTGAGAAATATGCTTCCATCTTATTTAAGCAACTGTATTTGGGTGGGTTTTTTTGGTTTTTTTTGTGGTTGTTGTTGTTGTTATCGGAGCTTAGTTTTTACTCTAACAAATACAGCTACCCAACTCACTTTATGAGAATCTTAACTTTAATACCAAAACTCAATAAGCACACAGTATGCCAAAAAAATTGTAGAGCAATATCATTTATGATCATAAATGCAGGGCTTCTAAATAAAATACTAGCAAATTAAATTCAGGGAACTAAATTTATAAAATCAAGCATGACCTAGTTGTGTTTATCTCAATAATTCAAGAATGGAATGGCTCAACATAAAATCTATTAAAGTACACTACTTTAACAGATTAAAGGGAAAAAACCCACTTAATCAACAGAATAGTGATTCAATCAATCAGAAAAAATATTTGCTAAAATTCAACACTCATACAATTGGGTGTGTAAACATGGAGTGTATAATTAATGATGTGAAGGAATTATTGCTAAATCTGTTTGATAATGATACTAGGGTTGTTTATTTTTCTTTTTTTAAAGAATTCTTCTAGGAATACATACTGAAATATTTACAGATAATGTGATGTAATGTCTGGCGTTTGTTTCAAATAACACAGAAAGGGGAGAAGTTAGCAGAGGTATAGATAGAAGAAGATTGCCCATAAGCTAAGTTATTGAGGCTGTGTAATTGGCAGACAGAGGTTTATTATACCAGTCTGCCTACTTTTGTGAGTGTTTTAATTTTCCTTTAATGAAGAGTTAAGAAAATTCACACTCAAGCATGACTTTAAAAGAAAATAGGAACACAAGTCAAAGTCTTTAACCTGACAAAAGTCATCTATCAAAATGAGAGTAAAAATCACTTTTGTTGTGAAACTTAAAAGCATTGCCATTAAAGTCAAGAACCAGACGAAGATGTTGTTATAACTGCTTCTACTCAATGTGGTACTAGAAGTCCTAGCCAAAACGATAAAAGAAGAAAAGAAAGAAGACATATGAGAGTTGGAGGTTGACGGAGAAACGAAACTATCCTTATGTACAGATAATACGATAGTATATAGAAAATCCAAAAAACCTGACAAACTATTAAAATTAATAGTAGAGCTCAGCAAGGAAATCTAGTTTTAAAAAATTGATATTCACAGTAACAAAAATGATCCATATCCAGGAGTGATTCTAATAAAAGATGCGTTTTCTGAAGAAAATTACAAACATTATTAAAGGACCTAAAAAAATACTTGAATAAATGGATAGATACATCATGTTTATGGGTAGAAAGATTCATTCTTGTAAAGATATCAATTATACCAAAATTAATACATTGATACAATGCAATTCCAATCAAAATCCCACTAGATATTTCTTGTAACTTGACAAGCTTATCCTAAAACTCATGTGAAAGATCCAGTGTCAAGAAAAACTAAACAATTTTGAAGAGCAAGGTGAGAGAACTTGCCCTACCAGGTGTCAAAACTTCTTCTAAATCCTTGGGAGTTAATCCAATAAGATAACTGAGGAGGAATAGACAAACAGACCAATGAAACAGAATAAACAGCCCAGAAACCCCATATCTTTGGAAACTTGATATATGATAGAGGAGAGATCCCTAAACATCAGTAGAGAAAGAATGAATTATTTGGTAAATGTACTAGGACACTGGTGATTCACCTGGAAAAAAAAATTAAATGTTAACTTCACACTATACAGAAAACATAAATTCCAGGTGTTCAAAAGACATTATAAATATAAAAAAAAAACCCTGAAAACGTTTAGAAGAAAATATAAGAGGAAAAAAAGAGAGTAAATATAGGAGGATACCATTATGGCCTCAGGATTGAAAAGGATTACTTAAATAAAACACAAGAGCCTGATCCATAAAGAAAAAAGCTTGATAAATTTGACTATAATAAAATGTAAAACTACGGTTTAAATGAGAGAAAATTTCTAAAAATTTAAAAGCAAGACAAGGACCAGGAGAAGATGTGTGCAGCACACACTGTGACGCAGAGATTAGCATCTATGTTTTATAAGGACTTCTTAAAGATCAACCTAAGAGAGGTTCCAGTTCCAGCAAGAGAGAGCGAGCTTGCCCTGACTTGTCTCTCTCATTGAATCCAACTACAAACCCCACACAGACTGCACGGAGCAGCAGGCTATCTGAGGACACTGAAAAGTCAATGGTAATAGGCTGACTGGAGACGGATACCAGAGTTCAAAGTTCTACCCAATCACGGGTGAGGTTACCAGGTTTTTTCCTTCAGTATCACCTGGCCTGAAGGACGCCCAAAACCCAGAAGTACACACCACATGAGGACGGAAAGAGCTCCAAGAGAAACCTTCTTTTTCTGGTCCAAGGGTGGAGAAAGGGGACTGTTGAGGGTCAGAAAGAGTTCTTATTTTGTTTTTTATTTTGTTCGCTTTGTTTGCTCTCTCCCACTCCAGTCCCCAGGCAATACTGAAGTGGAGGCATGATGTTGGCAGGTGCCAAAACTCTGAGGGACACAGAGGGGCTGGGGTCTCCAGAGTGTGGGGCAAATTCCCATTATTACTCTCTGATTTGAATGATTGCAGATTTCTTATCAGATATCATGGAGGCCAGAAGGAGGAGGAACGACATAGTCAAAGTGCTCAAAGGAAAAAAACGGTGCACCAAGAATTCTATATTCAAGTCAATGCAATCTCAATCAAAATTCCAGCTGTGTTTTTTGTCAGAAATGGACAGGCTGATCCTAAAATTCATATGGAATTGCAAGGGACCTTTAATAGCCAAACAAATTTTGAAAAAGAGGAACAAAGTTCGAGGACTCCTACTTGCAGATTTCAAAACTTACTGCAAAGCTATAGTAATCAAAACAGTGTGATACTAGCATAAGGATAAACATATAGATCAAAGGAATAGAACTGAGAGTCCAGAAATAAACCCATATATCCATAGTCAATTGATTTTTGACAAGGGTGTCAAGACCATTCAATAGGGAAAGAATAGCCTTCAACAAGTGGCACTGGGACAACAGATAGCCAGATGCAAAAGAATGAAGTTGGGCCTTTACCTCACATCACATGCAAAAATTAAGTCAAAATGGACCAGAGACCCAAATATAAGTGCTAAAACAATAAATCTCTTAGAATAAAACATAGGCATAAATCTCATGGTCTTAGATTTGGTAATGGAGTCTAAGATATGACGCAAAAGGTACAAGCAACAAAATAAAAAATAAATTAGACTTTATCAAAATGAAAAACTTTTGTCCATCAAAAGACACTATCAAGACAATGAAAAGACAACTACAGATTGGGAGAAAATATTTATATATCATTTATCTAGAAACAAAAATATAGAAAGAACTGGTGCAACTCAACAACAAAAAGACAAATAACCCAATTCAAAAATGAGCAAAAGATTTGAATAGCTATTTCTCCAAAGAAGATAAACAAATGGCCAATAAACACATGAAAAGATGCTCAACATCACTAACCATTAGGGGAATGCAAGTCAAAATCACAATGAGATACCACTTCACACCCATTAGGGTGGCTATAATAAAATAAAATAAACAGAAAATAGCAAGTGTTGGTAAGAATGGGGAAAAACTGGAACCCTCATACATTGCTGGTGGGAATGTAAAATGGTGCAGCCGCCGTGAAAAACAGTTTGGCAGTTCTTCAAAATGTTAAACATGGAGTTATTACATGACCTAGCAATTCCATTCCTAGATATATATCCAAGAGAATTGAAAACAGGTGTCCAAACAAAAACTTTTACACGAATGTTCACAGCAGCACTATTCATAATAACTAAAAAAGTGAAAACAACCCAAATATCCATCAACTGATGAATGGATAAACAAAATGTGATTTATCTATACAATGGAACGTTATTCAATCATAGAAAAGAATGAAGTATTGATACATGCTACAATGCAGATAAACCTTGAAAACATTACACCAAGTGAAAGAAGCCAAACATAAAAGGTGACGTGTTGTATGATTCCATTTATACGAAATGTCCAGAATAGGCAAATCCGTACAGACAGAGAGCTGACTAGTGGTTGCCAGGGGCTGGGGGATTGGGAAATGGGGAGCATTTCTTTTTGCTTCTTTTTGGTGTGATGAAAATGTTGTGAAGTTAGGTGATGGTTGCATAATATTATGAATGTACTAAAAGCCACTGAATTGCACACGTTAAAATGGTGAATTATATGTTATGCGAATTTTGTCTCCAAAAAAAAAGAATTTCTGTATCCAGTGAAAATATTCTTCAAGAATCAGAGTGAAATAAAGATATTCTCAAATAAAGGAAAACTAAGAGAATTTGTCATCGGCAGACTTGTTCTAAAATAAATGTTAAAGAAAGTTCTTCAGATGGAAGGAAAATGATACCTGAAAGAAACTTAGAACATCAGGAATGAAGAAAGAAAAACAGAAATGGTAAAAATCTGGTTAAATATAAATATCATATAATATAAAATCTGATCAAATATAATACAGAGGGGCTGGCCCCGTGGCACAGTGGTTATGTTCGGCACACTCTGTCTCAGCAGCCCAGGCTTGGTTCCCAGGTGTTACATCAGTCATCAGCAGTCATGCTGTGGCAGTGACCCAGATACAAAATAAAGGAAGATTGGCACAGACATTAGCTCAGGGAGAACCTTCCTCAAGCAAAAAGAGGAAGATTTCCAACAGATGTTAGCTCAGGGCAAATCTTCCTCAGGGGAAAAAAAAAAAAAAAAATATATATATATATATATATATATATGTAACAGAAATATATTCTTCTCTTGAGTTCTTCAAAATATGTATGACACTTGACAGCAAAAATTATAACATAGTTCAGTGAATTTTTGGTGTGTATAGATGTATACATATGACAACTACAAGAAGAAGCGGGAAGGGTAGAGGGACCTAAATGGTGGTAAGCTTTCTACATTCTATACGAAGTGGTAAACTATTAACTTTAAATAGACTGTGAAACATTAAGTGTACATATTGTAGTCCCTGGAGCAAACACTAAAACTTTTTGTAACAAATTATACAAAGAGGTATAGTTAAAAACTCAACAGATAAAATAAAATGAGATACAAAATACTAAAAAAAGTATACCTAATTTCAAACATATCAATATTTATATGAAATGAAAGTGGTCTAAAAGACAGAGATTGTCAGATTAGATTTTAGAACAAACAACAAGACCCAACTATTTGCTGTCTACAACTTTATAATATAGGTAAGTTAAAAGTAAAAGAATGGAAAAAGATATCCTGTGCAAACACTAATTAAGAGAAAGCTGGAGTGGCTGTATGTTCTTTGTTTTTGTTTTATTTTGTGTGAGGAAGATTGTCGCTGAGCTAACATCTGTGCCAATCTCTCTCTATTTCATGTGAGATGCCAGCGTGGCTTGAGGAGCAGTGCTAGGTCCACACCCGGGATCCAAATCTGCAAACCCCAGACCACCAAAACAGAGTGCATGAATTTAATCACTACACCACAGCGCTGACCTTGAGTGGCTGTATTAATAGAGACTGCATAGCAAGGATAATTTCCAGGAATAAGGAGGGGAATACATAATAATAAAAGAGTCAATTCACCAAGAAGACTTAACTATTTTAAACATATATGCACCTAACAAAAGAGTATCAAAATACATGCAGCACACACTGATAGAACTAAAAGGAGAACTAGACAAATCCACAATTATATATGGAGGCTTCAACATTACTCTCTCAGTAACTGATAGGACAAGCCAACAGAAGATAGGCAAAGGTAAAGAAAAACAACTATTCTATCCACCAACTGGATCCAAGTGATCTTTTCAGAATACTCCACCCAACAAGAACAGAGTATACGTTCTCAAGTGCACACAGAACATTCACTATGATAGATTATCTCTGGAGTCATAAAACAAACCTTAATAAATGTAATAGACTTGCAATTATACAAAGTATATTCTCTGACCATAATGGAATTGAACCAGCAATCAATAACAGAAACATAACTGGGAAACCTCCAAACACTTGGAAATTAAACAACATAATAATCCTTGGGTCAAAGAGGAAGTCTCAAGGGAAACTAGAAAATACTTTGAACTGAATAAAAATACAACGTATCAGAATGTGTGGGTTGCAGATGAAGCAGTGCTTAGAGGGTAATGTACACTATTAAATGTTTATATTTGAAGTGAAGAAAGATCTCAAGTCAATATCCTAAGCTCTCACTCTAAGAAACTCAAAAAAGAAGAGCAAAGTAAACCCAAGACAATCAGAAGGCAAGAAAGAATAAAAACAAGAAAGAAACCCATGGAATTAAAGACAAAACCCTTGAAATTAAAGAAAAAAAACAAAAGGAAACATCGTGATGAAACTAAAAGCTGATTCTTTGAAAATTTCAATAAAGTTAATAAATCTACGCAGGCTAACAAAAAAAGCGGGAAGGTGGTGGGAGAGAGGACGGAAGTTACCAATATCTGGAACAAAGGAGAGGATCTCACCCTATACCCGACAGATGTTGAAAGAGTAAGAGAAGACTGCTAACGACGTTACACAAATAAATTTAACTAAATAAATGAACCAATTCTTGAAAGCCACAGATTACTAAAGCTTACCTAAAAAGAGATAGATAATCCAGATAGTCCCACAGCTATTAAAGAAATTGGATTCATAGTTTAAAGTATTCTGATAGTTTCTTGGGATAATGAAACTGTTCTGTATCCCAATTGCTGTGGGGGTTACATAAATCTTTACATGTGTTTAAACTCAGAACTGCTATCCCTCTCCTCAAAAAGTCAATTTTACTCTAATTCTTAAAATTAAAAAATCAATTCAGAAAAAGCCAAATAAACAAATAGCAAAGTGGATGAAAGTAAATAGCAAACTCACAGAAGAAACAAACAAAACTGTGAAGATGTTCAGCTTCCCTAGTAATCAGGAGATGCAATTAAAATAACAATGAGAAGCCGTTTGGTATCCACAGTTTGATCATATAGCAAGTACAGTCGTGCATCAAGTGACAACAGGAATACTTTCTGAGAAATGCATTGTTAGGTGATTTTGTGGTTGTGCAAACATCATAGAGTGTACTGCAGGGGAACATAATTTGCCACCCCAAAATGTGTCTCTTTAACATGAGGATTATTTTAGGCTAATTTGTTTAAGAAACAAAAGACTCAGAAAGTTTTTCTTGTTATCTCCTCCTTAACTGCCTAAAAAATTTTAGGTTAAAAAAAACCTGTCTCAGGAAATGAGATATCACCTTAGTATAACGTCAACCATGTGTTGAACAGGGAGGGACCTAGAAAAGCCTGTTTGCTGGGCTCCCCTCTGTGTTCTTCTCTTTCTGTGTGGCCAAACACTTGTTTTGCAAACGTTTGCTCCTTTTCACCTACCTGTGAATTGCCTTTGAAGTCCCTGACTCTCCCCACCCCCACACCTTCTTTTGTCTTTAGCTGAGGAGGGTGTTTAAGGTGAGGGCTTCTGCCATTTTGGTGAGTTACTTGGTTTTCCTGGGTTTCTCCCATGTATACATGTTCTTAAACTTGTGTTTGCTTTTCTCCTGTTACTCTGTCTCATGTCAATTTAATTCTTAGACCAGCCAGAAGAACCTAGAAGAGTAGAGGAAAATTTCTTCCTTGCCTACAGTACTTACGCAAACCTAGATGGTCTAGCCTACTGCACATCTAGGCCACATGGTACTAATCTTACGGGACCACCATCGTGTTGCAGTCCGCTGATGACTGAAACATCATTTTGCAGTGCATGAGTGTATTGGGACGATGCAGACCAATAGGACTCTCAATCACTGCTGGTAGCAGTACAGCTGGCCAATCCCTTGGAGTGGAATTTCCCAAGATGAAGCTAAAAATGGGCCTGCCCTTCCCCCCAGCAATGCACCTTCTAAAATTCTCGTAGGAACACAAAAAACAACATGCCCAAGAAAGTGCACTGCAGCATTGTCTGTATGAGCAAAACATTTTTAAAGGCTAGAGAATTAATACATGGTGTATTATTCATACAATGGAATACCATACAATATTTTAAGCTCTATTTCATGATATGCTATTTTGAATAAATGAACTTATGGCATCAACACAGATAAAATCCCAAGGACAGGATGTTGACTGCAAGAGCAAGGTGTAAAAATGACACTATTTAAATAAAGTTTGAAAACACACAAAACAATGCTATATATTGTTGATGGATATACACAAATGCTCTGATAGTATAAAAACACAGCTGAGATGTAAACACAATCCACCATGGGTGCTACCTCAGGGAAATGCAGGAATGTGCTCAGGGTGGAATACACTAGGGGACATCAACTGTATCTGTAATTTCCTTTTTTTTTTTTTTTAAGAAAAACAAAGCCAGCAAGTCAAAATAACGGAATTCAGTGGAGATGGATGGTTGGATGGTGGATTCACGGGATTTCATTACGTTATTCTTTGTATTTTTTTAGATATTTGAAGTGTTTCATGATCACGATAAGAATTACCGCCACCCACAGTATCCATCGCAGTGGGCAGAGCCCGTGGCAGTGAGCATGCAGCTTGGCTCCCCAGCTCTGGTCCCATCTCTACTGCTCTGGAGCTATGGCACTTGGAAAAGTTTCTTCGCTTCTCAAGCCTCAGTGTCCTCATCTGTAAAATAAGGATAATAATAGGACTTTCCTTAGAGTATTTTTGTGAGGCTTACATGAGTTAAAATGTAAGGTGCTTAGTGTAATGCTGGGCACACAACGAGTACAACATAAGCATCAGATTTTTCTTCCTATTTCTCAACCTGTGACACTCAGCTGTCATCTCTGTGAAACTTTCCAGGACACTGTCCCCATGTCTAATCCATCTATCAAGACTGGGCCAAGGAGAACTGGGCGCTCCATCCTGACTTCCACCTTGCTTAATTGTGTAGCATAACTATTTGTCTGTCTGTCTGCCTGACTATACTGCTCTCTTATTTATCTTTGTGTCCCTGATGTCTGGCAATGATAGGAATGTAAGAATCATTGTGGATGACTGAAAGAACAAACAAAAAAATGAACAAGTGAACGTCCCTCCTGTCTCCAGTGCATCCACTAGTGTTTTCTCCCATCCCCCCTCCTCTTTCCAGGCGCCCTGGACTATTAGACTGGCTTAAGTCCCTCCAATCACAGAAGAAATACTTGACCAAGAGTCATTACTCTAAACAAACACTCTTTCGGGGTTGTAAAAGAAACCCATATGTAGAAGGCAAGGTTAACACAAAGGAAAGAGTCTCTAATGGTAGAATCTAAGATTCTAAGGCACGCACGTGTGCACACGCACACACACCATCTATCTCTGCTCAGAGGGATTATCTCAGCAAGTGAGACATATTGGAAGGTAATGTGGGAACAGAGCTCTCAGGGAAAAAGTTGTGAATGTTCTTTGAAGAGTTGTGCGTGAGTCACATTTTTAAAAAACACAAATCATATTCCTAGTGAATAAAAGAATGTTTTTAATTTACTGGAGGACCTGGCTAGTTAAATCTTATTGTGAACTCTTTATTAAAGACTGAAGTAAGGAATTCTTTTGTTAAGTAAATATTCAGGCCCTTCCTTGCCAAAGAGCTTTTGAAATCTTTGCTGTAATTATGCTGATGTTTTCTGTGTTTATATGTTAAATGCCTAGAGCTTAATTGTTAATGGGTAAATAAGAGGAGCCACACGGTCCTTGCCAAGAGAGGCCCAAGAACCAGGGCTGTAAGAACAATGGTTCCGCGGGGCTCCCCTGGAGGGGGTGAAAGGCAGTAGGGTAAGCCAGCGGCTTGGGCTCTTCTCTGTAGGCACGGCTCCTACGGGGCCCGGGGAAGAGACAGACCTGGGGGTGACAACGAAGGCTACTGTCAGGTCGTGGGCCTGGGCCTGAACGAAGGTGTCTGCAGGGCCCTATCCAGCCCACGTTTTGTTTTTCTGCACCGTCAATAGGTCAAGAATTCCTGCTGCCCTCAAGAAAACCAACCGGAGAATTATGACACTGTAGGAATAACTGGCAACCAGATGACGGGCCGAGGGCTGAGGTCCTGGGCTGGTCTCTCAAGGCATTGGCCCGGTTGGAATTCCACAGCCACCCGCTCGTGAGCTCTGCAGCTATTAAAGCTTAGGCATGTAATTTAACCTTTCCTCGAGGTCCTTCTCAGCATACTGGGGATAAAGGGACCTACTTCACAAGGGTTTCATGAAAATTAAATAAATTAGCATGTAGAAAAATGCTTAGAACCATGACTGGCATATAGTAAGTGCTATATAAATTAAATATTTAACTGAGAGTTAAATAAACATTGTGTTAGGTTTCCAGATATCAAGTTGATCTGGAACAGAGGTGCAACCAACACCTTGCTTGTGGATCGTTTGCAGCGTTCCAGTGAATTGGTCCTCCTTCACATCGATGCATATTTAAATACAGTGTAGTCTTTCTAGTCTCTGCAGTGCATCCTCCAAAAGATTATATGCCCAGGATAAGAACTTGTGAGGATGATAAATAGAAGATAAAAACAACAACAAACACGCACATAGAGACACATATTGGGTTGGTGGTTACCAGAGGGGAAGGGGGCAGGAAGGCGGGGGAAAGGGGTGACTAGGCACATGTGTGTGGTGATGGATGGTAATTAGTCTTTGGGTGGTGAACATGATGTAACCTACACAGAAATCAAAATATAATGATGTACACCTGAAATTTACATAGTTATAAACCAATATTACTTCAATAAGGAAAAAAAAGAATTTGTGAGAAAACTTCTGTGTACTTTTATTGAAAGCCCAACCCGGCATGTTAAGATCAACCCTGTCTTCATCTTCATCTTGGAGCTTCTCCCCCTTTAGGGACTGGGGTCTTGGCAGAAGCAGGCTGGGACCTGCTGAGCCTGCCAGGGTATCTCCAAGAAAACCTTAGCTATTCTAGGCAGAGGAACCTCAAATCCAAGTCAGCAGATCAGTTGCAAGAAAGGAGTTGAGTGGAAGTCTCTCTGTTTGCCAAGGGAGCCTGTTCCAGGTTTGAAGTGGGGAGAGGAGCAGAGGGTACTCAGAGGAAGCAGGCTTGAGGCAGACACAGTCGGCTAAGGCGGGGTAGTTCCTTCCAGATCCTAGTCCTTCAGATGGATAGAACGTGGTCAGAGATCAGCTTCTCACATAAGTAGCAGGAAACATGCTCTCAAGACTAACTAGACTCAAAACTTCAGAGTTGAAAAGGGGTGTTTCAACCCTCAGCTATGAGCAGCTAGCCAGGACCTAAGAGTTTCCGTGTTTCTAGGCAGCAGGCCCCTGGGTTCCCAGCATCACTGAACCTACTTAGGTCCTGGTTACTTAGGTACTACTTAGTACTTAGGTGCTTAGCACCTTCTAATAGGTACTCCCTGGGAGCACAGCCGTGGACCGCGATCTACAGGGAAGGCACAGCCACACCTATAATCTCCCTGGATCCCCACAACCAGATGTCTGGTGCCAACAGAGGATGCCTTTAGAGCATTTGACAGCAGAGGAAGCAGACACTCACGGTGACTAATGCCACACCCAGGGCCACATAGCTACTAACGGCTTAGACAAATGCCTGAGCATCCAGATCCCGGATGCCGTTCACCAGACGCTGCTACACTCCGTCTCTTTTCTGAGGGATCCCCAAGGGAAAGATGAAAAACAAGTGCTCTGCTCCTCGTGTGAGCACCAGGACATGGTGCCCAGTCTTCCCTGTAGAACCAGGGCCACGTTCAGTTGAAGGCAGGTCAGTGACAACCACACGCAGACGATGGTGCTCAGTGAGCCCCTCCTTCTTCTGCAGTCACCCTCACCCCTTGTCTGTTCCCACTCTGGCCTAGGCGCCTGGAAGAGCCCCGGCCCGCAGCCCGTGATCTGCCTTCGGGAGAGCAGCACTTTCTTTTCTCTGCAGCTTCAGAAACAACCGGTCCAGCTCAACAACCAGAGGTGGAGTCCCCAGATGCCCCAACACTTCCATCTGCCTGGGCTGCTGGGAAGGGAAGGTTGCTCTCAGAGGCGCTGAAGACCATACTCCAGGAGGCGCTGGCACATTCTGTGGTGTGACCAAGCGTCGGCTCCCTTTGTCGTGTGAGGGGGACTGGCTCACACGGCAGATACTGCGGCCTCTCTTGCAAGACCCTCTGAGGAAGCCAGGAAGAGATGCCCAAGTCAGGGAGGGAGGAGACCCCATGGAGCAAGGACCCCTCACGGCTGAGGAATTTATTAGAAACAAAGAGCTTGAACTTGGAAAGGGCCTTGAACATTGCAGGGTTCAGTCCAGGAAACTGGCTGAGGAGCCTTGGAGCAAGAGACCGAAACCAGCCAAGTTGGGGACGGAAGAGAAGGAAAGGGCTGAAGAGTGAACAGAAAGACAAAGAACAGGCAGTTCCAGAGAGCCAAGAACGCAAATCACTTGCAGACGCCGGTGCGATGCTCCGCCAAGACTCCTGTGGGAGTGCCTGTCACTGTGGGCTCAGGCACGTCTGCACGTCACAGTGAGTGTGAGCCTGTGTGTGTAAACGTCCCCGATGAATCATCCCATGTGTGTAATGATCCTGTCGGCTCATGAATCATTCAGTGTGTGTCAGAGCCAGGGGGCGTGTGTGTGTGTGTGTGTGTGTGTGTGTGTGTGTGTGTGTGTTCGTTCCAGTGCACAAGTCCGTGAGGCTGCCCGGGCCGGAGTGACACTGGAATGTGAATGAAAGCCAGACAACGCAGCGGAGGGCAGAGCACTCCTGGGGTGAAGCTGTGTTTAAAGGGCACCACGCTTCATTCACACCGTACATCACACACCACATTTCTGAACCCAGTCCAGAGAAAGCCATCTGTCCCTCCTTCCTGCCGAAACAGCCCCATGGAGGTGCGGTGTTAAATTCTTCAGGCTTGCGGAGTTGTTTTCAGAGTTAGAGATGGCCACAGTCTCAGAATCCTAAATCTCAACTCCTTCGTTTTACAGAGAGAGGGACTGTGGCAGAGAAAGCCGACACTGTGATCCCAGAGTCGCAAAGCTGCCTCGTAGCAGAGCCAGGTGCCACTGGAGTGTCCTGACCGCCCCCCACCCCATTTCCCCCCTCAGTCCTCAGTCTACCCACACAGAGTGGGTCCTTCTTCCTCGGGGATAAGATCACTTCTTTTTACTAAAATGCACTCAGACTCTCTCATGGAATGAAACATGTCATATCCTAAAGGCTGGAGTCGATGAATAACCTCAAAGGCAAAGCTGGGACATCCCGGCCAGCTAGCCATGGACTCTGAGTCATTCGACCTCTTCTCCTAGTCAGGAGGAGCCCTCTGGGAGAGCCATTCTGGGGCTTCTGTGTCCATAACCGGCCAGGTCCTTTGGCAGACTTGACGCTGTGTGATTCAGAAGTTGCTTGTGAGGCATCTATGAATGTCTTGCTCAAGAGTCCTGATTCTTTCTCCTTTCACCTTTCTGGTGGCCGTTTCACTGCTCAATCTCGCTTACCCCACAAAAATAAACACTGTAGGCGATTTATTTTAGCAGTGCTGAGGAAGAGTTTGGTAGGTAAAGAGCCTGAATCTATTAACTATTAAGATAAGGTTTGGGATTATCTATGAGTTTCAACTATCCATTCCATTCATTCTTCTCAGATGGCTCAGAGTTGACCTGAACTTCAAAGGGATCACTTCAGCCACTGGATTTATTGTTCTTATTTCATATTAATTAAGTGCTTATTATGTACACAGCACTGCTGAGGCCATTCAGTAGGCACATTCTCTGTCCTGCGTCTCTGGAGAACAGAGATTGATCATCTCATTTATCCAGACTTCAAAGCCCTTTAACTCCAATAGCATCTTGTCACTGACTGTGGAGGCGGCTGGGATGCTGAGGGCACAGCAGAGTGGAATGAATGAAAGGGACAGAGAAACCACTGCTCCAGGTGGCATCTGGAGTGAAGCTGGTCTTACATCTGGGTCCAGGTTCTGCATTCCCAGAATGGTATCTTCCAAACAGGGCTCTGCTACACACATGTCTTGGGAAAGGGAATTAGGATGTCTTCTTGTGTGGTGGATGGACTGACAGACCAAGCAAATTTTGATACAGTAGTGTCCCTCGCAGGCAGCACATGGGCCAAAGGAGAATAACCAAATGTTTCTCTGAGTATAAATAAATATATTTCGCATTTATTTCAGCATTATATGTAATAGCAAAAAGCTGTAAACAACCTTAAAAATCCATTAATAGGAGATTAGTGAAATAAATCATGGTACATCCATACAATGGAAAACAATGCAGCTGTGAAGACTGAGTTATATTTACATACATTGACCTGAAAACAGATCTATGATTATTAGTTTAAGAAAAAGTGTTACAGAATATGATCTTATTTTGTATTAAAAAATTAAAAGAGGTAGCCTATAAGTAGATATATATGTTTATATATGTTTGTATATGTAAAAAAAAAGTGAGGAAAATCTGTACATGTGGAAAACTATATACAGTGATGCGCCACTTAACAAGAGGGACACGTTCTGAGAAATGCGTCATTAGACGTCTTCATCATTGGGCGAACATTATGGACTGTACTTCCACAAACCTAGATGGTCTAGCCTACTGCACACCGAGACTATACGGTACTAATCTCATGGGACCACCGTTGTGTATGCAGTCCGTCACTGACCAAAACGTTGTTATGTGGCACATGACTCTATTTAGAAAAAAATCTGGAAGGATGTACATGAATCTGGTTACATTGTTTACTTCAGAGGGTGCGGTTAGAATGGGTAAGAAAATTAATTTTTTATATAGTCTGAATTATTTGACTTATAAGATGAATTAATTTCATAACTTTAATAAAGAAGAATAAAATGTATTGCAAAAATAAAGAGAATACAAACAGGCTTGTAGGTGCCTACTGGCCACACTCAACCTTGGAGCTTGCCTCCATGTGAAATACCTCACTTATTATGACATTTGGAGAGCTGGCAGCCATCACTTGAGAAAACATGGCACATTTGGCCTCTGCTGCAGCATCACGGAACAAAACAAGGACTTGGGCTGTCAGCTCAAAAGAAAAATACTGATTTGCATAAACATGTGTGACATAAATTTACTCAATGACTTTGAGACATTTCACTCTAAACAGATAAAATTAATTAAAATTAGTGCAAGTTTCTGGCACCTGTACTCCAATTCTCCATTATTTATCCAGGGCATTGAAAATTGGAATATGTCACAGATTCTTAAATCTCATCCTGAACCAGGAGGAGGAAAGGGGAGGGAGAGACGGTTGGCCGTGTGTGCCAGACACTGGGCTGGGCCCTGCACCTATATCACGCCTTTTGGTCCGTAGAATAATCCAGCAAGGCAGGAGGAAAGGGGACAGACATGCATGCAGGTGTGCACACACATGTGTTCAAGAATGCACTAGAAACTACAGAACAAGGCAAGAGGAGGAGGCCAACCAAGGGAGAGCCTGAGCCTCAGGGAAGCAAAACCCCTTTGGCCTCACAGTGGGCACCAGGCAGGCTGCTCATGAGGCCAAAAGGGCAGTAATTCTGGGGGTCCCTTGAACACGGTGGCCAGGAGACTGGCTACCTTGACCTTCCCTCAGTCCACTTGATCCCCCTTGACGGTCTGAACCTCTGGGGGATGGGGCCCAAGCTTGAAAGGAAGTTGTATTAGTCAGGACTCTTTTCATAGCAAGTGACTAAAACCTAACTCAAACCAGCTTAGGTAAAACATTGAATTATTTGGCTCTCATAACTAAAAATGTCCATGAGTAGATGGCTCAGTGGGATCAGGATTCAACTCATGTCGATCAGGACTCATTCTGTCTCTGATTTTCTCAGCTCTGTTTTCCTCTGTGTTGGCTTCATTTTGCAGGCAGGCTCTCTTGACATAGCAGCAAAAATAGTCCCAGAAATTCCATGTTACTTGGTTCCTTACAACTAGCCATTCCAATGAAAAGAAAGCACTTGTTTCCCAACAGTGTCAGCAAAAGTGCCAGGGATGACTCTCATGGGTCCAACTAGGGTCACATATCCATTCCTGAAATAATTACCGTGGTGACTTGATTGACCAGGCTGAGTCAGTCCTTCCCAGATCGCGTGGACTAGGATTGGGGGAGTGGTCTCTTCATCCAAAATTAGAAGGACAGTACCAAAGGAAGAAGGGAGGGATGCTGGGCAAGCAGGCCACAGATGTCCATCACCATGTCATATAGAAAACCTACCAGCAAATTGTAAACTGTGAAAGACTGGTAGGTGTTGGTTATTTTTAACTGTCATCTCTTGGCAACCATAAGGCGCTTGGAAATTGCTCAACTCAATGATAGAAGTTCTGAAGACTCTAACGACCCTCCTCCCTCATTGCCAAGGTTAAGAGCACAGGGGAAATGCCCAAGAATTTCCAGAGAAATCTTGTCAGTAACACTGGAACCGTCAGTTCCTGATGCCCTGCACAGGCTGTGGGGAATACCAGTTGCTGTGATGACAGAAGGTTCTTGATGGCAAGGAGGCTGGGAATGTCCTGGGAAGAGCTCTGGACTAAAAGCCAGGTACCAGGCTTCCAGCTTAAGCTCTCCCTCTAACAAGCCATGTGACCTGGAACAAATGCCCTAAGTTCTCCGAGGTGAGAGTTCTCCCACGTAGAATAAAGGGGCCAGGGCAAATGACACCACAGTTATCTCCAGCTTTAAAATTTTGACTCCGGGTCAGGCTTACAACTTGGAAAAAGTTTATGGGTGTCTCTATGAAGAAATAAGGGAGAAAATAGTAGGCTGAAAAATCATACCACAGCCATCAGTCAAATCTGTGACAATTTGAACATAAAAATAAATGATGATAGTAATGGAAAATAATCCAGGAATAAAATAATAATCCATGAGTTCATACAGAAATCCATTCTCCATCCATCCATCCATCCAAGAGAAGGAAAAGGAAAACTCTTCTATACAGTAAATGTTAACTGGAAGGAATAATGAAGTTAGAAAAGTTCACAGTAATGAAGTTAGCATCCATTCATCAACGGATGCTGAAACTAGTGGGTGAAAGTTTGATGAGAAACAGGATATTTACAAAGTCTCAAGATATCTCCCCACAGATTACTTATTGATTACAAATGGGAAAAAATAGTAACTATAGTGATGAAACCTGGAGGCCACCACCCTAACAAATGGTCAAAGTTATCACCCATGTTGGAACAAATCAATCTCATGTGTTTCTGATCCAGTGCAACGAGGAGCCCGCAGCATCCTCTCAGTGTCTTTCCACCCAAAATACATAACCTGAATCTAACCACGAGAAAACGTCAGAAAAACCGAATTGAAGGAAATATTACTTGATGATTGACCTGTACTATTTTAAAACGTCAAGACTTAATTTGAACTGCTTTTAAAAAAAAAAAGTCAAGGTCATGAAACACAAAGGAAAGCTGAGAATTGTCCAGTTTAAGAGACAGTGACAATTAAGTGCAATGAAATGTGTGATCTTGGATTGGATTCTAAACCAGGAAAAAAAAAAAAGTTACAGAAGACCTTACTGGGATAATTGATGAAACTGAACATGGATGATGACGTGTGCATATACAGCGACCTGGCTGAGGCCCAAGCTGTGCGTGGTCCAGTGAATAAGGCCTCCAAGTTCCAGCTAAGGAGTTCACTGCTGGGCTCCAGGACAGTGGCACCCAATCCTCCAATGCTTTGGAGCCCCCGGATTTCTTTCATTTCCTACTTCCCTCTTCAAGCTCTCTGATCTGTTCTTTGGAATAGTCTGCTGGGGGAGGTGGCAGGAACCTCTGAAAGATTCCCCAGAGTCCCAGCACCCCGCGCCCTCACCTCTCATATTTACTCTAGTTCCAATGCTTTCCCTGTTCTATACAGAAGGCGTCTGCCCTGGGCAAAGAGACTGTCACCTGATTTCCTCAGGAGCTGGAGTGGCCCTGATCCAGTGTGAGTTCACTGATACCCAGAGGGAGCCCTCAACTGTGGAATCACTTAGACAGGAATCCCTTTGCAAAGCCCTCCCCTCACATCACTACAGACCCTCTCTCTGGCTTGGTACCCCTTCAGTAGGGAAAGCTCTCCTGATTAAAAGCACCCGGGCCAGGACGGGGTGGGAGCAGGCAACCTCTGTGCCCAGCCCTCAACATGGCCCGAGTGAAACGGGTGAGAGCAGGTCACAACACAGAGGAAGGAGCTCTGGGCCACAAGCCAGGGTTCCAGCTCTAACTCTGATCATAATATTTTACCAAGTATCAGCCGTACCCCATGCACCAGGCTGTGAGTTTGACGTGCGTTTTCTTTTATCCTAACTATGCCCAGTCAGAGGAAGCCAAGGCTCAAAGAGATTTAAAGACATCGTTGTACCTCACATAATATTTAAAAGTAAGATCCAAATGGATCAGCAGTTTAAATGCATTTTTCAAGAAGAAATGGAGAATATCCATATAAGCTCAGGACACTGAAGACCTGCACATTCTGTACCAGAAGACATAAAGAAAAGAGATTTGATTATATGAAATATAAGGTAAAAGAGAACAAATAAAAGAGGAACGACTGAAAGAAAATATTTACAACACATATAACATAAGAATGAATAGGCCTAAAATGCAAAGCGTTTGTTAGTGGAGTGATTCTAACTCCTAGCGACCCTGTGGACAGCAGAGCAGAACCGCGCCCCGTGTTTGGCACCTTCGCTATATCAGCTATTCATAAGGTTTTCGTGGCCAGTTTCTCCAGAACCGGGTGGCCAGTTCCTTCTTCCTAGTCTGTCTTAGTCTGGAAGTTCCACTGAAACCCGTCCACCAAGAGTGACCCTGCTGGTATTTGAAATACTGGTGGCACAGCTTTCAACATCACAGCAACATGCAGCCACCACAGTGTGACAACCAACAGACGGGTGGTGTGGTTCCCTGACCAGGAAATGAACCTAGGCCACGGCAGTGAGAGCACCGAATCTTAACCACTAGACCGCCAGGGCTGGCTGATACGAAGACTACCTACAAATTGATGGGAAGAAGACAATAGGAGAGAGGATGTAAGGGCGATTCATCAAAGAGGAAATATGAATGGACAATTACTGTATGAAAACACAACCTTCCTTGTTGATTGTTGTCAGAGAAATGGAATATGAAACAATGATGAGATATAATTCTTTAGCACACGAGGTTAGCAACATAGCAAAAAGATTAATACTTTCCAGTGCTGGGGAGGGTGTGGAGCAATAGGCATTTATACACAAGGCAGGTAGAAACATGAATTGCTAAAACATTTTTGAAATATTACCTGGAAAAATCTATTAAAATTAAAGATACGCATACACATTGACCCAAAAATTCCACTTTAAGGAATTTAAGTTACAGAAATAAGAGTACTAGTACATAATGAAATATGTAAAAATATGTTTATTCTAGCATTGTTTGAAGTAGCCAAAAAGAAAAAAAAGGAAAAGGAAAAGATCTCAACGTTCATTAACTGAGAAATGATTAAATAAATTATGGTACAACTATACTACAGGGTATCGTGCAGTTATCAAAAATATTAATGAAAAGATCCCTATATATTGACCCAGACTCAGGATTTCCATGATGTATTTTTTTCTTTTTTTTTGGAGGAAGATTAGCTCTAAGCTAACATCTGCTGCCAATCCTCCTCTTTTTGCTGAGGAAGACTGGCCCTAAGCTATCCGTGCCCATCTTCCTCCACTTTATATGTGGGACGCCTACCACAGCATGGCTTGACAAGCGGTGCCATGTCCGCACCCGGGATCCAAACCCTCGAACCCCGGGCTGCCGAAGTGGAACGTGTGAACTTAACCACTGCGCCACCGGGCTGGCCCCCACCATGATGTATTTTTAACTTTAAAGAAATAGATTTATAGTCTGATTCCATTTTGTTAAAACACTTGTTTAAAAGAAATGAAAACCCATACATGTACCTATATGTTTGTTTATACTTCCCTTAGCATTCATGAAGTAGTGGGAATACACAAGCAAACTTAACACTAGTTATTCAGTGGCAGAAGTAAGAGAAGTGAAGGATAGAGAGGGTGATTGTTCAATTTTTTATACCCCTTTATTTAGTTTTATTTGTTATAAAAGAGCATGTAACTTTTGTAACTTTCCAAATAAAAAAGAATTAAGGAACTTCTTCAAATTCAAGGGTTTGAATATACAGTTGTTCAGATTGAGCACTGTACAAGGATCTGGTAGGGGGAAGGTGTTCACATCGTAGACACGAGGGAGTGAAGGGATGGATGGAGGTACCAGCCCAAGTCCTGAAGCTGCAGGGAAGAGCCCTCTCCTTAAAACCACACCCGTCTACTGGAACACACACAGACACTGCTGACACACTCTTGTATGCACCGTGTGCCTGTCCCAGCCACACGCCAGGTGTCCCCTAAGGTTAAATCTCTTGCTTGCCCTCCACTCTTGGAGACCGGACTCCCTATCCCTCCCTTCTTTGAATCTGGTCTAACTCCTTTACTTATTGGGAGGATGAGGGTGGGTACAGAGGTCTGGGCTCCCAGGGGCATATGTGTCCTGGCATTGCAGGGAGGGGTAGACAGGGAGCACAAGCAAGTAAGGGTGTGGGCACGTGTGTTCTCACACAGGACTGCCACGTGCTGGGCTCCAGGAAAGCTCTGTGCCGGGCACAGCCAGGATAGGTCTGCCTTGTACGCTTGTTCAAGCTATGCGGTAATATACTAAATTTAACCAAGGTTTACTTGAGGAAGGCGCACCTTTCTCTAATGTGCACAGAGATGCCATATGTGCAAGCAGAATCCCTGCTAATAAGAGACAGGGACAGAATGCAGCCCCA